CTTACTTTATAAGATTAATGAAAAAGATGAATCAAATGCAAGATTAACATCAATTTTGTATCTTTTAAAATATGACCACTAGATAAATCTAAATTGTCATTTGACTTTATTTGTATTATGTTTCTATTGGACAGTGGTGATCTCAAGCTATGAGCCACAAGCTTTACTCTTTATGTTCCCAACAGAATGTGTGTGCAAACATATATAAACATACACACACACATACTGAACGTCAAGCACAAAAATACTCATTGTGGTATGTGTAATAGCCCCAAACTGGAAACAGCCCAAGTGCTTCCCAGGGCAGAAATGGATAAATAAGCTGTGGTATGACTATACATTGCAATACTATTTAGTATCAAGAATGAATAATTGGGCCCGATGCAATAGCTTAGTGGCTAAATCCTCACCTTGCATCTGTTGGGATCCCAGACAGGCGCCGGTTCGCATCCCGACTGCTCTGTTTCCCATTAAGCTCCCTGCTTGTGGCCTGGGAAAGCAGTAGATGATGGCCCAAAGCCTTGGGACCCTGCACTGTCATGGGAGATCCAGAAGAAGCTCCTGGCTCCTGGGTTTGGATCGATTCAGCTCTGGCCATTATGACCACTTAGGGGGTGAGCCGGTGGATGGAAGAACTTTCTCTGTATCTCCTTCTCTCTGTATATCTGCTTTTCCAATAATAATTTTAAAAGTCTTTGAAAAAAACGAAAATTCACAGCTACGTAGAACAATATGAATAACGACAATATTATGTGAGAGAGACCATCTCCTCCAATCGCAGTTACATGAGGCTTTAAAATGCAGGAATAACTACAAATTCAAAGGCAAAATGGTAGCTACACTTTTGGGGAAATGCTGGGTGTAAGAATGGGCGGAGCGACTCTGGGCGACAGGCTACGTTGTGTGACTTGCATGGGTGGTGCTTGCAGGGGAGTTCGTGTTAATTCATTAAGTGTTCTGTATTTATGAACACTGTGTGCACTTTCTGTGTGTGTGTTGTCTCTCACAATAAAAAAAAAAATCAAGAGCTTAGGGAGGCTTCTAGCGATTGGTTACAAATGATTCTAATAACTCCAAGTCCTCCTTGAAATCAAGCTTCTCATGACTGACTCATTTATGGAAATTGCAGCAAAGCAAATTGAGTTGTTTTTAAGAGACCACATTCTGCCCAGTCAGGAAATCATGATATTTTCTAAATAGTTCTAAGTATAACTCTCCACTTTAAAATAAATTTAGAGATCTCTACTCTTTGCTTGGTCACTAGGCTTGGCACGATATGCCATTTCCTCAAAAATTTGTCAACAAGATTGAGAAAAAGAATATGTGAAATCTGAGACTCGCAGAGCTTAAAGGGATCATGTGCCCTATGATTTTTTAAGTCCAGAGTTCTTGAATCTTATGGAATCTGTGGCACTTCCTCTTGGAAATGCGTCTATAAACAAAGCAGTATACACAGTATATTACATACGGCTTGGGATGATTCATCACAGTAATTTAACCAGATCATTTGTTGGATGGTAGCTTAAGGCAGAAGGGTTTCATGACACATACATGGTTAGTAAACAAAGCAGAACTGGCATCAAAAGCTTCATTTCCAAACTAGCTATTACTTTTTAAAGTATATCGACTGCTTTTCTCTTGCCCAGGACTCCCATCTCAGCACGACTCTTACCCACGTTGGATTCTACAATTCTGCCCTTATCTTACTGCGTACTTAGGAAGAGTCTTCAGCTACAAAGATGATTCCCTTATTCCTTCTAAAAGTCAACATCCCTTTAATCGCCTTATATCAGTTGTTTATGTGCTTGCATAATTTTTACAAATACATCATGGCACCCATGCTTTATTTATTTTTATTTTCCCCAAACTGCTAAGCTAAAGGACCACTCATGCAACCATTATGGAACCAATACTAGTTGAATTAGAAGGACATGCAAATATTTGACAGAAACTTGACAATAGAATTATATTCCATCACTTGAGGGTTATTGTGAACTGAAATTCTGGTGTCAGGCTGACCTGAAGAGGAATTCAATCACTGCCGTTGACTGGCTGTGGTTTGCTGAATGTATTACTTAACGTGAGTTTCACCAGATAAATCTGATAGAACCAAATGTAATTCACTAGATCATTGTGTGAATGCTGGGAAATAACATATGTAAAATATTTCAAGCAGCGTCTGGCATAGCAACAGCTCAGAAACAAGCTCTCATTGTCATTATGCAATGCTCTGAATTGAAGAATGAATGAAATTTAGAATCAATTGGTCAACCAGCCCAACCTATTCAGGATTTGTATGTTGTCGTAAAAGATTCTTCCTTTGCTTACCCTGTCCCAATGAATGAAATCACTGGAATTGATCAAAATTGTCCCAGTGCTTCCACAGTGCCTCCTTATTAATAGCCTAAACTCTGTGACATTTCTGTTTGTAGGTCAAGGTGATCAAATTATCAAAGATTTACAATTCAATACCTGGACATATGTCTTTGTTATTTCCTCCTGTCTTCAGTTGAATATCCACGCTTTTTCTACTTGAAAGCTCTATAGAAATAATGAAGATTCAATCTTGAACATGTTATGCCTAACTCCTGGTTTCACTGCAGTCTATAGAGTTGTCAGGGAGACAACAAGAAGATAAGCAATTATGTATAATTTTAAGTCTCTAGGGGGTAGAGGGAAAATGTTTGAAGAAAATGCCCCAGCAAAGGGAATTCTCATAGACTACATCACACATGAAAATATGGGAATGTTGATTATTATGTTTCAGTGGAACTTTGTGCGATGAGGACAGTCCAGGGGTGCAGTGGGCAATGTGATGCTCACATCTTTTATGGCAACCGAGCAAGTATCTGTAATGCAGCTAGCGTCCTGTAACTGAGGAAATGGAATTTCAATTTTAATTGATTCAGACATACATAATCACGTGTAATCACATACCCGCATGACAGGTGGCCATAAGGCTGAACAAAGTAAACACATAGTAAGGGGACACAGAGGTGAGAAATGAAGTTGGGTTAGCAAGGCCCAACTTAGGAAGAACCTTGAAGCAAGTTAATGACTGTGGGCTTTTTCCTGAGAGTCACAGGGAGTCTTTCAAGGAGTTTAAGCTGCAGGCAATAACCCAGTAAGGCGAGAGCTTTGCAAAAGTAACTCTGGTTGGCTTGGGATATAGATGGGGAGGATTAGAGACACTGGTCATGTCTCTGGGAATCTGCTCTATTTGGGAAAAGATGGGAACAAAATACAGAAACGTTACTCATGGATATTTCACAGAAACAAAGAAATATACAATCAATCACATCTAGTCACATCCAATACTTAAGTATGCATTGATATGTTTTTATATAGCATTTGTTAACAGCAGTGGCTTAGGTTGCCTGCTGCTTTTACTAGTTGCTCACAGAGCATCTAGCTTGTGATGTATTTCTGGGTGTTCCCAAAGGTACCTGAGCTTACAGAGAAGTCTTTCAGCAGAGTGCCTATGTAACACCCACCTTACTCTTTTTCATTTATTTCATTCTGTTCTCATGGTCCCCACTACTGAGGCACCTGTGTTTGTGGTCATGACAGTGATCTCAATGAAGGCTCCCAAAGGCATTCATTGTTTTAAAAACATATTCGTTTATTTGAGAGAGGGGGGAAGTTGAAGGTACACTCTCCAATTGGCTGCATTGGTTGGGGCTGGGCCAGGTCAAAGCCAGGAGCCAAGAACTCCATCTGGGTCTCCCCTGTGGGTACAGGGGCCCAAGTACTCGGCTGATCTTTGGCTGCTTTCCAAAGCACATTAGCAGGGAGCTGGATTGGAAGCAGAACAGCTGGGATTTAGACATGCCTCAGCTCATGGCTTACCCTGCTGCATCATAATGCTGTCTGAATTGCATGCTGTCTGCAGAAGGAGAGGGAAGCTTTTAAGTCTGAGCAATGTGAAGCCATACTGCTCCACTCTTCCATCCCTTCATCCTCAGAGCATCATCTTTACCCAGCCCCTTCTGGCGTCTTCACCCTCCGAACCATGCCCATTGGGGTAAAACAAGGCAAAACCAAAGAACACATGTCCCCAGGAGTCCCTCTGGGGACTTGAAGAGCTTTGCATTTCTCACTCTAGGACTCAACACATGCACACCACTTCCCATGTCCTCCCTGACACACCCTGCAACAAAAGACACAAAACACATACCTGCCTGAATGAATTCTTCCTGTCACTTCAGCTAACAGATCTGATCTCTCTTTGGGATCAGTCAGCACCATGCCTACTCCATGAATGTTCCTGCAAAAGAAATGGACAAACGAATACATAAGCAATCACAACTGAGCAGGCAGAGAGGATGAGCACGGAGCAGGAGCAATGGCATGTGATCTCAGGCAACACGTATGTCCTTTGGTGCTAAATGGGATTTCTGTCTCAATCGGTGACTTTCCCTAACAGTGAGTTTCCACTTTTGATTCTGTAAAAAAAGGACTCCTTTGGGAGAGAAGTAGCATGTTTACACAGCACACTGCAAGGCACGTGCCTGGAAGGTGCTCAGTGAACCAAGCTGCTATTTCTACTTTGGGGTTGAAGTTCAGGCTGTCACAGGCCTTGCAAAGGGGCACCTCCCTTCCCATAGCTCTCTGTGGCTGATGCCACTGAGATCAGATACGGAAGTGACTTGATAAGGGTCACACAGCAGATCAACGACAGAACAGGCCAGGACTCCAGGTGTGCCCGGTAAGGTTGTGGGAACTGCCCAGCCCCTGGTCTGACCTGGCTCAAGTTGCTTCTGATGTGAAAACTGTACTCCTCTGCCTCACACAGGGGATGTCCCCGCAATGCACAGACAAGACAGGAAGGCAGCTTGAGCTGTGCTGTCTGTGCTGAAACCGAGGCCAGTGCAGCATCCCCGTCGCCATGGCAACCGCAGCTTGGTCTAGGAGGACCAGCTCCTCCGGCACCCCTCCCATCCACGCAGACGACGTAACACGTGCGGCAAGGTCACGTGTTGTTGTTGGGCCTGGGAAGTTGCTTCCGGGTCAATGCAGGACACTGGGCTCCGGCGGCTGGATTGGGGGACGAAGTGAAGAGGAGCCGGGCCGGGCCGGGCCGGCCGCCGGGGACCAGGCCGGAGGCTGAGCGGCGGCGGAGACGGCGGTGGCCGGGAGGGGGGAGGACAGGCGCAGCCGGAGGAGCCGCCGAGCAGCTCCCCCGCCTCCCCGGCTGAGGGGTGAGTGGAGCCCGGGGCCACCGGCTCTGCCGGGGATGTCGAGGCCCGAGGCGCTCCGCTCCGGAGCCGAGGCGTGGAGGGCCGCTCCTGAGGGGCGCCGGGAGGGGAGACCCGGGCACAGGATCGGGGGTCGCTGCCTGTGACAGCTGCGGAGCTGGAAAGCCTGGCCCAGGGCTGGTGGAAGGATGGGGCCTGGTCGCGTCTGGGCAGAAAGGGAAGGGCCCTGGGCTGGGAGAGGGGGTTCTGATTCCAGGTTAGAGGGGAAGCCTGTCCGAGCTCCTGGGAGAATCTAGTTTGCTCACTGAGACCCCAAGGCGGTGGGAGGGAAACGTGCCCTGTGACTGATGGGAGACGGAGACATGCCTGTGGAAAGTTGTCTCGGAGCTGGGAGGCCAGACCCAGCAGATGTGCACACTCTGAGATCTGGAGGGAAGGGAGAGAGCATGCGCAGGGCGTGGGACCCTCGGCTTGCCCCCTCCTGGAGCTGGTAAAAAGGTGTGTAGAGGATAGAGTTGCCCAAAGTTAACAGTCTTCAGAAGGGTGAGGTTGCAGGTGCCCAGCCCTGGCATCTTCGCTGGGTGGTGGGGCCTGCATGGAACTTGTCTTGGGATTGGGGAGCACAGAGTCCCAGGTCCTATTCTAGGAGCTTCCTAGTTCTGGAAGTTGTTGAAGGAATGAGATGGAATACCATCTGCTGTTGGGACACGGAAGTGGTAGGTGAGGAAAGTTAGTTGCCAGAGTTGAACTGTGTACAGCCCGTGTAGGAGGGAGGAGCTGTATGCTGAGGGTTGCTAAGCAACTGAGAGTTTGTAGGCACCGCCTAGGACTGTCTAGGGAAGCTGGCAGGGCTCTCAGGTCCCAAGTCCAGGCAGAACTGGGGCTTGTCCCTGTGCTTTGAATGCTGCCTTGGAGCCCTTCTGTGGGTTCCTGCGCTCCAGCTCGAGCTAAGAGTATGAGTGGGTGCTGCGGCCTGGGGAGACTCTAGATGGTGAGGGCTTGGACTCACTTTTATATTCTTTTTTTTTTTTTTTTTTGGCCTCACAGAAGTGCATTTTTCATTGTGATCTGGTACACACCTACCTGTGAATCAAAAGTTTCACAAAGCAGTATGATGTGTCCACGTGATATTTTCTGATAATTTGTGGCATTTTTTTTGTCTTTTGTTAAAACTGTGATGATGTTTACCACTTTGATTTATGGGGAACAACTTGAAGTTTGGAAAGCCCTGTTGTGAAACACATTGGCTTGGCTGCATCAGGATTCTATATTGTAAGCTTCTAGAGGGCAGGGGTGATTTTAAGAAGGTAGATAGTTTTGGAGAGTAGGCAGGCAGCTGGATGCAGATGACTAAACTGTTTAGGTGTTTGTAACATGAACGTGTTTGACCCATATTTTCTTGAAGTAATTATCATCTTTGATATGTTAATGTGGCTTGATCATCTGATCAGTGAAATTGTGTGTGGATGTTTTAATTTTTCTTTATCCTTTATTTTAAGAAAGTTGAGAGGCCTGGTCTGATTTAGTTGATGCATCATCAGCAGAAATGTCATTTTACTGTTCAAGCGTTCTAAGGATGCTCTGGCTTGCTTTTCTGAGATTTAAAAACATTTCAAACTCTTACTCTAGTAACTACAGTATAGCAACATCATCAAAGACAGAAGGTTCATGGCTTTATCTTGTAATTTAAACTTAAGAGTCAGTTAACAACTTCCTCCATGCAAACAATGTTTTCATCTAGAATGGGTGAGGTCCTTAGCTCCTGATAAACATTGGTGAGTGTTGGTGAGTAGCTAGTGGTCTTCATACATTGACATGTTCAAGTTGTTTGGAAAGTTGTCACCCAGCTTATTGCTCCAGGTTAGTGTCAAGTGATGTTGTCTAATTTCAGCAGGTAAATTTAAAGGGTCTGTATTTAAGACCGATTTAATAGTGTTACTTTTTTTTTGTTTGTTTTTAATGGAATGAGTTCATTTTATTTTGAATGCGAAATTCAAAGGGGAAGTCGTCAGGAAAGTGTTGCCCAAATTGAACTTCATCCATGGGCTCCCATTCTTGATTGCAGGTCTTCTGAAAGCAGTCTGTCACCTTCAGTCTTTGTGTTTTAGAATGTGCCCTTCTTGCTTTAACCATTTATTGACTATGTATTAGGTTATTGATGAGAGGGGTCGTATTGTCACATGTTAGCTATTCTTTAAAAATGGCCTTTTAAAATCAGACATACGTCGTTTGTTTTGAAATATTAAGTTTTAAAGAAGATGTTTCTTTTGTGGTAGTTGCTTGGAACATTAAGGAAGACAGGCATTAATTTTATTTCTCTGGGAATCATGTTTGCTTGTCAATAAACAATTATGGAGAACTTACTCTGAGTGATTTTGTGTTTTTTTTTTTTTTTTTTGTAGTTTTTAGTCCTTCTTTTGACCCTCAGACTGTTTGAGAGTGTCTACCTGTGCCCTACCTGTGTCCTTTCCCCTTCCAAGCTTTGCTTCAAAAGTAGTATGGGTTTGGAAATCTGATACATGGATTTGTTAGAATTTTCTGGAAAATGGGTTTGTGTCCCTCTGAATTCTACTTCTTTTCCTTAGGTAATGAACTGTGTGATGCATATTCTGCCTATTCAGAGGCCTATTTCCTGATCTCTTTGCCTGGACTGTGTTTTAAATAAGCTTGCTATATGTTTTGGGCTTAGTCATCTAATTAAAAAGTTGTAAGAAATGACGTAAAACTAATAGTGATACAGTTTATTTTCATCTCTAAAAGGTTTTTATTTCATGTGGCTTTTTTTTTTAAGATTTATTTTATTTTTATTGGAAAGGTGGATATACAGTGAGGAGAGACAGAGAAGAAGCTCTTCCATCTGATGATTCACTCCCCAAGCTGCCGCAACGGCTGGAGCTGAGCCCATCCGAAGCCAGGAGCCTCCTCGACTGCTTTTCCCAGGCCACAGGCAGGGAGCTGGAAGGGAAGCGGGGCTGCCGGGATTAGAACCGGCGCCCATATGGGATCCCGGGGCGTGCAAGGCGAGGACCTTAACCACTACACCATCGCACTGGCCCTATTTCATGTGGATTTAAATATAGAAAACAAAATTATAATACAAAGAGTTCCTGTATACCCCGCACTCAACTAATGTTAACATATTTGATTAGTATGACATAGTTATGACACTTGGTAAACCACAATTGAATGAACCAGCTTCTCCTATTATTATTGTTTTTTTTTTGTCTAAATTCCTTGTATCCTTCTCATTCTTTCCACCTGCTAGAAAGCAGTTTTCTGTCTAAAGGACTGAACTTTTAAAAACTCCCACATATGAGGGAGAACATGCATATTTGTATTCCTGTGTCTCACTTACTTCACCTAACAGTATCTTCTGATTTGTCCAGTTTATGACAAATGACAGCTTTTCATTATGCTTTTATGGCTGAGTAGTATTCCATTTTAGAAATACCTATATATGTATATTTTCTATTTATCTGTTGATGGACACCTTAGGTGGTTCCATATCTTGGCTATTGGGGATTGTGCTGTGATAAACAGGGTAGGACTCAATTTGGATTTAAAGGATGAAGATTCCATTTAGTTGTGATTGTTGCCTTTGCCTTATAAGCAACTAGTCATAAGATTTACCATCTTTTCCTTTTTTAGACCATTCTTTCTTGACTTTTGGTTTTTGGGGGTTAATGTTAGTAGCCTAACTATTCCCATTGTCTGTTTTTCTTGTGCTACACTGCCTTGCATAGTTTCATAGAAGACTTCCAAAAAGATTGCTGTGATTGTTTAATTTATCTTCCCCCAAACCAATAGGTGCTGTGCAGTGCCAGCACTGAACAAAGCCATACCGTTTCGTTTGCCATTCCGGGCCACCAGCAGCCCTTCTCTATCTACTTGTGACTTTGCTGTTCATTCCCCAAGTGCAGATCCTCTTCCTGTGGAGGCTTGTACTCTTCATACCTGATGATGTGTGTGACATCTGTCCGTTCAGGTGTCAGGACAAAACACGTTCCCTTTCTTTAGTGAAATCCCATTCATTTCTTTTCAGATGGCCTTTCTTCTCTGAAGTTTTTCTTGCATGACTTACCCTACTATTTTCCTGTATTTTGTATTTTGTGTTCACCTCATTTTTCCCCTTTTCATATGGTAAAGATGTCAAGAATAGGAGACTCACCAGGATCTGTCAGAACCTATCAGAATTGACTGAACTTAGGGTTAAAATGGAAATCTCTAAATTCCACCCTAGATTTACTGAATAAGAATCTCATATAGAGCTTAGGAGTGTATTGTTTTAAAAAGCTTCTGAAGTGCTGCTTTTATACAGTAGAATTTAAGAGTCACTGATCTAGCATGATGCTTTAAATTATAATAGATACACACAAATTATTTTTGAACCAGTAACGTGAGTGAGCTGAACAACATGCAGTTCAGGAGACTGGCTGAATTTTAGGGCTTTGAAACTCAACCTAAGTGTGAATTTTGGCCCTGTCATTCACTAGGCGTCTGAACATAACCTATCATAGCTTCAGTTTTATGATTTGGAAAATAGTACCCCTCATGAGAGCATCATGAGAATCAATGGACTAATGTGTGTAAGACAACACAGGATGTGGCACATACTGAACAACCAGTACTTTTTAAAATGCTATCATGGTGGGTACTAGCACAGCAGTGATCATCATAATATAGGTTGAGCATCCCTTATCCACAAATCCATGATCTGAAATGCTCCAACATGTTTGAGCATGAACGTGAGATCACATATGGAGAAGTTCACATCTGATAACACTGTGACAGATCACCGTTGGTGCAGGTACACTTAAAATCCTATATAAAATTGCTCTCAATTTGGATATTGCTCTCAAGATGGATAGAAGGATAACATAAATGAATATTGTGTTAATATGCATACCCCCTCTGTAGAGTACCATACGTGTGTGTGTGTGTGTATTCTAAAATCAGAAAATCTTGAAATTCTGAGTAGTTCTGGTCCCACGGGCTTTTTTGGA